TTAATTTCTCTTCCCCCCTCGAGCAATTTCTCGGTGTGGCTTGGCGTTGATGATAAAATAGCAGCTCATCAGTGGTTAGTTCTTATGTCCTCCTCCACCAACCTTCACTCGTCCCACTAACCTCCAACCCCAAGGATCTTCCAATGCAAATGGATTCCTAATGGCACAGGATTCTCGGAGTTAGCCTCAAACCTTCTAAATCCCTTTCTCTAACATTCTGGCCGTTTCTTCCAAGCAGAGTTCAATGGTCTTTGTCACTTCCTCCAAGCTTCATAAGGTTTACACAATGGGGATGTTAAAGTGATTCTCCAAACTCTCTAGGTAGTTGAGTTCTGAGGTCTTTACAAAGCACTTTCAAACGTAGCTTTGTGTACAGTTCTTGAAAGTTGGAAATAACTGTGCATGGAGTGCAGGGAGCGGTGTGTATAGGAGGCAAAAACTTCACCTTAATGAAGCTCATGTCCCAAAAGTCGCTCTGACAGTCTGTTAGGATGAACAGGGCAATTGTTCAACACCGGGAGGCATTAGTTCTAATTTTATCAGTTAGGTATTTTTCACATTGGGGGCAAATGCATGTGTCCAGTATAGGAAAATTCCCTAGTGACCATGCCTGTAGTTTGCCTCCACGCACACACAAATTATCCTTGAAGGAAGCTTTTGCCTGAACGCTCTGGGAGTTCAAGTGATTACATCTATAAGGCTTCACTGGCAATCACCAGTAGCATTGGCACACATCAACAAAGTAAGCCTGTCTTTCATAGGCTTATGTCCTGGGGAGTGCCTTTTCTCTGAGTAGAGAGTCTGCTTGGCATTTTCCAGACAGCCTGTTTATTCACAATTAAAACACTTGTTCGAGTTGTCAGTCCTTGCAGTTTCTATGTACTTGAATCCTGCACATATTTTTCAGCGCTGGTGGTCCGAATGGCAGCTCACCAGCCTTATCACACTATGGATGCCACTACGCTCTAAATCTCTCAAACCAACCTTTGCTGGCCCTTAAAATTACTCACATCATAGTTGAGGTTTTTTTAATTAATCTCATGCAACTTCTAGCCTTTAATATGATCGCTGAGAGACGCTATCTCCTGACATCTGTTTTCATTTATCACACCAATAAGAGTCTCTCAAACTTCATCATGCGATCTTTGTTTCGAAAACACAGTTGAACTTGCAAAAGCTCCTTGGATTGTCTTTTGGTGCCACAATAGTAGCGATGTTGAAATTGGGGTTTTTGTACGCTTGATAGTCGCTATGCGCACTCCACTTCATACTATCAATTATCTCTTTATCATCTTATAGTAATACTTACCTTTGGGTGTAGGGTTGCATAGAAAGCTTTCTTGGTGCCATGGTCACTTATTTCCAGAACAGCACGAAAATACTGTATAATACGAATATTCGAGTGTATGCTTGGATGTTACCGGGAGGCTGGCTGGTAACAATGGGACGGAGCGGCACACTGTGAGGTGGCTGAGGGCAACATTGACGCGTCACGAACGAAAATGGTATGCGGGTTTTAATCGGTATGCGGGGCAAAAATTTTCGATAAAAGTAATGTTATGCTAGGAAAGTATCGCTATGCGTCCATCGTTATGCGGGGGTCCACTGTATTAGAATAGATATCATGTATATAGATATATATATATATATATAAATTTTTTTTTTTTTTTTTCAACAGTTGGCCTTATCTCCCACGGAGCAGGGTGGACCAAAAAGAAAGAAATCCCCAAAAGAAAATACTTTAACTCATCATTCAACCTTCACCACACTCGCACAATATCACTGCTTTTGCAGAGGTGCTCAAGATACACAGTTAGAAGCTTAACGTATAAGATACAAACATATCCCTCCAAACTTCAATATCCAAACCCCTCTTAAAGTGCGCATTGACTTCATGTTCCGTAGAAAGTGTTTCATTGAGCTTATGTGACCAGTATTTAGATGAAGATAGGGAAGTTTTTATTGCGTTATGGATAGAAAAGGCATATGATAGAGGGTAGGGGAGCATTGGCAGATGTTGCAAGTATTGGATAGGATGGTAAGTTACTAAATGTGTAAAATTTTAATGGGATAGTGAGCTAATCTTTTGTTATCTTCAAACCCTCAGAAAGGTAAGGTTATGAGGATAACAAAAAATTTGTGATTGAAAGATTGGTATCAGATTTGGGGAAGAGTATGGAGGAGGGGAATGTATTCAGATATTTGGGAGTGGACGTGTCAGCGGATGGGGCTATGAAAGAGAAGTGAATCAAGAATTTTGGGGGGGAAAGAGTGGGGGGCATTTGGGTCTGTGGAGACAAAAGAACTTTGCCTTGGAGGGAAAAAGGGGAATGTATAGAGATGTTTTTCCAAAGTTTATATGGGTGGAAGCATTGGGGAGATGTTTGCAGGGGGAGGGGAAGGCTGGAGGCAGTGGGATGTCGGTCTGAGGGCAAAGTTGGTGTGAAAAAATGAGGAATTCGAGTTTGGAAGTTGGAAAAGGGGGGGGGGGATTTCCAAAATGTTGTCCCGGGGTGAGGAAGGGTTGTTGAGGTGGGTTCGGCATGTAGAGAGAATGGAGTGAAAAGAATGCTTTAAGAGTGTATCTCTGTGTGGAAGGAAGGCGGGGGAGGGGTCGGCCTAGGAAAGGTTGGGGGGAGGGGGTAAAGGAGGTTTTGGGCGAGGGGCTGGCTTCCGCAGGCTGCGTGAGGGTTTGTAGGAGTGAATGGAGACAAATGGGTTTTTTAAACTTGACGTGGTTGGAGGTGGCAAAGAACATTTTTGAAGGGGTCAGGGAAACCGGGAGGCCGGACTTTTCCTGGATGGGGAAATACTGCCCGCACTTGAAGGAGGGGTGTAAATGTTGCGTTTAAAAAATGAGGTAAAAACACCCCCTTTTGGCAAAACAGTGATGGAGTGAAAAATGGTGAAAATTTTCTTTTTTGGCCACCCTGTGGTGGTAATGGCCCGTGTGTGTAAAAAAAAAAAAAAATAATAGTGAGGCTCAGGTTTTGGGTGTGTTAAGAGAGGGAGATTACTTCCCTTTTAAAAATAGGTCTTAGACAGGGGTGTGTGAATGCATCAGGTTGTTTAAAATTTTTTTATAGATGGGGGTTTTATAAAAAGTAAATGCTATATGTTCGGAGGGGGTGGGATTAAATTATGGGGGCTTAAATACAAAATGGGGGAAATGACAGTTTCTTTTTGCTGTGAACTGTGTTATGGGAGACCTAAAGAAAATTGCAAAAGGGTTAGTGCGAAATTTTGGGGCGTGTGTAAAGGGAGAAAGTTTAAAGTGAACATAGAAAAGAGTAAGGTGATGAGGGTATCAATGATTTAGGTAAAGAAAAAATTGGATATAAATTGGGGGGGAGAGTATGGAAGAAATGATTGTTTTTATATTTGGGAGTTCGTGTCAAAAGGGTGGATTTTGAAGGTGGGTTAAAACAAAAATTGATGAAGGAAAAAAGGGATGACATTGGATATAGTGGAGGCAAAAAGTGTTATCTAGGGGGCAAAGAGGGGAATATATGAAAGTATGTAGTACTAACACTCTTTTGGGGGTGAAGCTTGGGTTGTGAATGCAGCAGCGGGAGGGGGTTTGGGGCGGGGAGATGTCCTGTGAGTGTAAATATTTTGCAGAAAATTTTGGAGTGTGAAATTAGGGGTGTGGAGTTAATAAATTTAGAGGCTAAGAGGGTTTGTTTAGGTGGTTTTGGGCTTTGAGGAATGGATCAAAGTAGAATGACTGGAGAGCGTAAAAACTGTCGTGGAAGGAGGCGGGGTAGGGGTCGTCCTCAAAAAGTGGGGGGAGGGGGGCAAAAGGGGGTGTTTTGGGGAGGGTTTTGGGCTTCCAGCAGGCGTGCATTAGGGTTAGATGGATGAATGGGGCAAAAGTATTTGGGCCTGCGATTGTTGGGGTGAGAAGGGAATATTTGTGAAGGGGTTTAGGGGAAAACCCGGGTTTTTTTAAAAACCGGACTTGATCCGGAAAGGGAAGTACAATGCCTGCCTTAAAGAAGGGGGTTTTGGATATTGGCATTTGGAGGTATATTGTGTTTTTTTATACATATATACTTCTAAACTGTTGTTTTCTGGGCACCTCTGCAAAAACAGTGATTATGTGTGAGTGAGGTGAAAGTGTTGAATGATGAAAGTATTTTCTTTTTGGGGATTTTCTTTTTGGGTCACCCTGCCTCGGTGGGAGACGGCCGACTTGTTGGAAAAAAAAAAATCACGCACACTAAATGAAAGGCAAGTCAATACACCACGTAATTTTACTATTACTAACAAGTAGTAATGTCACGCTTGCCAGTCTTATTAGAAGTACATATCATCCATATAACCACAACATCCCCAAACCTAGCTAACTAAATAAATTCTTTCAGGAACTTTAACAGTTCCTTAGGTTCATCTTGGAGTATGTGGCTCCAGCATGGAGCTGCACCTTAATCAAGCATGTAAAGAACTTGAGAATATAAAGTGTCATGACAAGGTTGGTACTGATACAGTGAGGGTTAGACTATAAGGAGACATTTGATTTAATAATCCTAGAAGATATGATCGTTGAGGAAATGATCATGATTTAATACTCACGATTACACTGGATAAAATTAGACTTACGGAGAAGAGATATAGCCAGGGGGCACAGATGGCAGCAGAGGATGCAGATGAACCACAAGGATGTTAGCAATAATTAATGGAATTAGTGGAACAGTTAAGAGACAGGGCCAGACATTATGACTAGACTCTTGTAAACACTGCTTAATATTAGGGTACATACATATACCATCCATTGATCTACAGTAAGTATGATATCCCAGGGGCTGGAAACCAATTGTTTCAGTCTAGCTATGAGTAAGAGGCAGGTTCAGGCATTGGGTCTCAATCTCTGCGAACACAGCTAGGTGATTATACATCTACATAAAATTTATTTTATTGGATTATGTATTTCTTTATTATATACACAACACAGACTTGAGAGCACACATATTTTAAAATGTTTTTTTTTTATTTATCAGTTCCCCCCGTCCTCCCCGATTCTCAGATGAAGGGTCCAGGTTTGGTACTACCCCCTCATCCCCATCATCCACATTTTCTTCATGCAGCGAGACTTTCTGCCTGTCGTGGCGGCCATCCAGGTGAATTCATCACCGTAACATTGCACTTTATGAATAAAGTGTGATAACCCACTTTTGCACTGTTATTTTGAGTGGGGTTTAATAGGGTAGCAGTGAAAATTGAGAAGCTATTTTGGATACCCTTAGTGGTCAGAATGTGGCTATATGAACAAAGATTTGGAAATGGACACACTTGAAGATGAAGGATAATTCACTTTTATGGTTTTATAGTTATAAGAGCAAGGCTATGTTTGTCTTGTCAAGTCTTCAGCAATTAACGTGTCATGTAAAGTTTTGAAGTTTGAATTGATTGTGATTCAAACTGCTTCCTCTTGGTTCCCATCCCAGCCGTCTTATCACACCACAGCATTTGTGAAGATAGATTTCCTAGTGATTTATCAGTGCATTTTTTTTTATTACTTTGGTCCCATATTCCTATACCTGGAGAGGGGGGGGTGAACACCCCACAGCCCAGTCTGAGACCAGGCCTGGCACTGTCATTTTTATTTTTTGTATTGTGGGAGGGGGTGCATTCGTGAGTGTTTAATCACATGTGGTTGCAGATGTCGTGTGTGTGAGAGTGCGTGTATTCGCCTAGTTGTGGTTGTAGGGGGTCAAGTCACAGCTCCTGTTCCTGCCTCTTCACTTGTTGCTACAAGGTCACTCTTCCTGCTCCACAAATTTTATCATACCTCTTCTAAAAGCTATGTATGGATCCTTCCTCTACTACATCACTTCCCAGACTATTCCACTTCCTGACAACTGTAACTGAAGAAATGCAGTGGACCCCCGGTTAACGATATTTTTTTATTCCAGAAGTATGTTCAGGTGCCAGTACTGACCGAATTTGTTCCCATAAGGAATATTGTGAAGTAGATTAGTCCATTTCAGACCCCCAAACATACACGTACAAACGCACTTACATAAATACACTTACAAAATTGGTCGCATTGGGAGGTGATCGTTAAGCGGGGGTCCACTATACTTCCTAATATCCCTGTGATTCATCTGAGTCTTCAGCTTGCAACTGTAACTCCTTGTTTTTGTGTCCCATCTCCGAAACATCCTGTCTCTGTCCACCTTGTTGATTTCTCTTAGTATTTTACATGTTATCATATCCCCCCTGTCTCTCCTAGCCTCCAGTGTCGTCAGGTTGATTTCCCTTAACCTCTCCTCATAGGACATGCCCCTTAGCTCCAGGACTAGTCTTGTTGCAAACCTTTGCACTTTCTCTAGTTTCCTTATGTGCTTGGCTAGGTGTGGGTTCCAAACTGGTGCTGCATACTCCAATGTAGGACTAACGTACACAGTGTACAGGGCCCTGAACAATTCCTTATTAAAATGTCGGAATGCCGTTCTTAGGTTTGCTAGGTGCCCGTATGCTGCAGCAATTATTTGGTTGGTGTGCACCTCAGGAGATGTGCCTGGTGTTATACTCGCCCTAAGATCCTTTTCCTCGAGTGAGGTTTGTAGTCTCTGGCCCCCTAGACTGTACTGTCTGTGGTCTTTGCCCTTTCCCAATCTTCATGACTTTGCACTTGATGGGGTTGAACTCCAGGAGCCAGTTGCTGGACCAGTCCTGCAGCTTGCCCAGGTCTCTTTGTAGTTCTGCCTGGTCCTCGTCCTTTGATATACCTTTGAAGAGTTTTGAGAGTTTCACTATCGGAGCCTGGCCATGGGCCTGGCTTGTCTGGTGCTTGCCAGGTCAACCAGGTGTTTGCTGCTGGAGGCTAGCTGCCCCACATATCCATCACAGCCTGGTTGATCTGGCACCTGGTGAAGGTACTTGTCCAGTTAAAAATTGTCCAATTGAATTCTTCTCATCAACTTCACATCATCTGCAAACAGGGACACATCTGAGTCTATTCCTTCCATCATGTTGTTCACAAATACCAGAAATGGCATTGGTCCTCGGACTGACCCCTGTGGAACCCCGCTCGTCACAGCCTCCCACTCTGACCCCTCTCCATGTGCCATGACTCGCTGTTGTCTTCCTGACAGGTATTCCCTGATTCAGTGCAGTGCCTTCCCTGTTATCCCTGCCTGGTCTTCCAGCTTTTGCATTAATTTCTTATGTGGAACTGTGTCAAATGCCTTCTTGCTGTCCAAGAAAATGCAGTCTACCCACGTCTCTCTCTTGCCTTCCTGCTGTCACCCTGTCATAACTCCAGTAGGTTTGTGGCACAGGATTTCCCATCCCTGAGACCATGCTGGCTGTTGTTGATAAGCTCATTCCTTCTAGGTGCTCCACCACTCTTCTGATAATCTTCTCCATGACTTTGTATACTTTACATGTCATTGACACTGGTCTGTAGGTTAATGCTTTGTGTCTGTCTCTCTTTTTAAAAATTGGGACTACATTTGCTGTCTTCCATACCTCAGGTAGTCGCCCTGTTTCGATAGATGTGTTGAAAATTGTTAGTGGTGCACATAGCACCTCTGCTCCCTCTCTCAGGACCCATGGAGAGACGTTATCCGGCTCCATCGCCTTTGAGGTATCTAGCTCGCTTACCAGCCTCTTCACTTCTTCCTTGGTTGTATGTATTGTGTCCAACACTTGGTGTACCTCACCTCTCTGTCTTTCTGGAGTCCCTTCTGTCTCCTCTGTGAACACTTCTTTGAATCTCATGTTGAGCTCCTCACATATCTCAGTCGTTGCTTGTGATCTCCCCTCCTTCCTTCCTCAGCCTGATTACCTGGTCCTTGATTGTTTTCCTCCTGATGTGGCTGTACAACAGCTTCGGGTCGGATTTGGCTTTCGCTGCAGTGTCATTTTTGTATTGTTGTTGGGCCTCCCTTCTTACCTGTGCATATTCATTTCTGGCTTTATGACTGCTCTCCTTATTCTACTGGGTCCTTTTCCTTTTATACTTGTTCCATTATCAAGTATGCTTGGTTTTGGCCTCTCTACATCTTTGGGTGAACCAAGGGCTCATCCTGGCATCCTCTTTATTTCTGTTAGCCTTGGGTGCAAACCTCTCCTCAGCTTCGTTGCATATTGTTGTCACATATTCCATCATCTCGTTTGCTGACTTCCATGCCAGTTCTCTGTCCCACTGAACTCCGTACAGGAAATTCTTCATACCTGTGTAGTCCCCTCTCTTGTAGTTTAGCTTCATTCATCCTACCCTTCCTGCTTCCCTCTCCACTTGCAACTCTACTGTGTATTCAAAGCTCAGAACCACGTGGTTACTGGCCCCGAGGGGTCTTTCATATGTGATGTCCTCAATATCTGCACTACTTAAGGTGAATACTAGGTCCAATCTTACTGGTTCATCCTCCCCTCTCTCTGGTAATGTTCCTTACATGTTGGTACATGTTTTCCAGTACCACCTTCATCATCATAACCCTCCTTGTTTCTGGGCCCCCATGTGGCTTCAGGTTCTCCCAGTCAATTTCCTTGTGATTGCAGTCACCCATTATCAGCAGCTTTGCCCTGCTCACACGAGCTCTTCTAAGGCCACTTCAGCAAGTGTGTCAACCATCGCTCTATTACTCTCATCATATTCATGCCTTGGCCTCCTGCTGTTCTGTGGTGGGTTATACATCACTGCATTTACCTCCTTGGGACTTCCAGACTGAAGTGTTCCAATTCTGTAGTCTCTTGTTTCTGTCTCCTCTCTCCAGCTCATCAAAATCCCATTGGTTTTTTGTGAGCAGTGCCACTCCTCCACCCCCTCTATTCCCTCTGTATTTCTTCAGGATCTGATATCCCATTGGAAAAATGGCATCTGTTATCACTCCTGTGAGCTTGGTTTCTGTGAGAGCTATGATATCCGGTGATGCCTCTTTGACTCTTTCGTGCCACTCCTCCCACTTATTTGTTATTCCATTAGAGTTGGTGTACCATACCCTCAGTTTCCTCTCCAACATTGTGTTCTGGGGGGTCTGTGAGGGTGGGGGACCTGGCAGTGTGCTGTGGGATTCTACAGCATAGTGTGGGATAGGGGCTGTAAGTGTGGATTGTGGCTTGTTTTGGGATAGTTTGTTTGGCTGTGGGGTTCTGGGGGTGTGCTTGTGCTTGTTGCTCTGCCCTGCTCTGGTTGTCCTCTGCTGATTCTGTCTCTCTTTTTAGCCCCTTTTGCTTCTGTGTCCTCTCCTTCAGCTGCTGTTTCTGTTCTTTTTCTGTCTTGGTGTAGGAACACCCTCTTGTATGATGGCAATTCCTTCAGCCTGGGTTTCTCTTGCAGGATCCTGTTCCTCACCGTTTCTATCTTGAAAATCGTTTTGACCAGCTGATCTCTTCGCTGAAAATTTACTATCTCAGTCATGTCCTCATCGCCTATTTCTTTGATGATGATTTCAGTCTCCTGTTTGTCTTCCTGCCATCTTTCATTGTGTGTCCTCCCCTTGCTCTCCTGAAGCCCATGAATAAACACTGACTTCTCCCTCACCTCCTCCCATTGCCCTTCCCTCCGTGTCTCGGGGTCCTGTTTGTACATGGCCATTGTCTCCCTTAATTTTTCCTGTAACTCATGGTGGCATGGTTATGCCTCTGCATGGGACCGATCCCCCTCTGTCCCTTCTCCCAACTGCTCTGCCCCTTCATTCCTCAGCCCTGCTTGGTGGACTGATAGACCCTTAGCGTAAGTCATGTGTCCTTCCTTTCTGTTGGGGTTCAGTAGGAGTGTACCTGCTTCAGGTGCTATGTCTTCTCTGGGCAATAGCCCTGTAACTCGCTTCAGCCTATTTACCTCATATTCTAGGGCCCATATCCCGGCTTCTGCAGCTTTGGCTTGTGACTCCCATTTCTCCTCTGCCTCCATCCTCTTCTCCATTTTTGCAGAAAGCTCACCTAGTTTGATTTCCCACCCTTGTCCCATCCTTTTACATTGCTCTTCTATCCATTCCTCATTACCAGAACCATTTTCCTCTGATCCCCTGAACCTTCGACTTCCCTTCTGAGCCATCATTTATTTTTCAATAGGTTAGGTGTTGTAATGTGTGGGGGGGGGGGAGTTATAAAAGGGAGAGAGATGGGGGCAGAGTGATGGAGAGGTGGAGAGAGAGAGTGGGAAGGG